CCAGCGCTGTGGTATCCACCCTTTTGCAGAGGCCCTGCGGGCACTCACGTGTTCTGGGCTCTCAGGAAGCTGGGGCCTGGGGGAGGGGCCGTGCACTCGGGGTGCCTTTTTCACACGCCCTTTCCTCTGCCTCCTCAGGAACCTCCGCAGGCTGGACATCTCGGACCTCCCGGCCGTGTCCAATCCCGGCCTCACTCGGATCCTGGTGGAGGAAATGCTGCCCAACTGCGAGGTTCTGGGGGCTGACTGGGCCCAGGGCCTCAAGTTGGGGTCTAAGGCCACAGCCAGGCCCCACCCTGCCTAGCCTCGGCCCCCTCCGGCTGGATCTCAGGCCGACGTGAGTGACAGTTCTCCCTGGGGTCTGGGCGGGTGGGGGAGGGCACTGCAGCCAGCAAGAACTTGAGGTCAGGTGCTTCCTCCCCACTTCAGGGTGGCCCTGGCCGGCTGCACCCTGGGCTCAAAGTCGCCCTGTCAGGCAGCCCCTTCCACAAACTTCGCTCCTTCCCAGTTCCAGTCTCCTCCTCTGCAGGCCGGGGTGGTGCAGAGCCTCTCACAGCTGCCCTGGCCCTGTCTAACCCGCGCCCCCCACCCCCACCTACTTGTATGTCAAGAAACTCTTGAAGAAGCAGCAGTCAAAAGAACCTTCACACGTCATCCTCACTTGGGCACCCTCTTCCTGCCGGGCCCCTGGCCCACACGGGTGCCGCCTGCATTCTGCAGGGAAGGCTCCTCCCGGTGTGTGTCTGCTCCGCTCACCGCAGGCACAGCGGCTCTGGCCTGCGCCCACCCAAGCAGTGCGCCCACCTCCCAACTTACAGACTCCCAGCTCCGAATTCCACTTCCTTATCTGCGAGGTGACAACTGATCCAGGCCTTTGAGACAACGAAGCATCAGTACTTTCTTTGCCGACCGGCCTGATACGCTTTGTCAGTAGAGGGCGCTCAAGAGCCGTGACCGAGGCGAGACTTTGCCCTCCAGGCTTCTGGCTGGGCTCCGAGCCCTGCGCAGGGTCCTGGAGTCTGCACACTGGGTTGTCAGCCGCTTCCTCCCGCACAACCTCAGTTTCCCAGAGTGTGCCCCCAAAGCACCTCCCTGTGCAGGACTCCCCACTCACCCACCCACGCTACCCCAGGAGGTAGGATTCCGTGAGTCCTGAGGCCTCTAACCCCTCCTCACTTTGACTTGCTGTTAAAGTTGCTAATTCCTCATAAACTTTTCCTGTTCAAATCGCTGTGTGGTTTTTCTTCCCTGACTCGATCCAGAGCAGTGGCATCGTGTTCCAGGACACGGACTCAGAGATGGCGTTTGGAGTTGGTCTGGCTTGGAGGAAGGTGCAGAGCCCCGTGGCAATGGGAGACCGGGTGCCAGCAAGCCAGGCCCGCGCGTGGCGAGCAGCCTGCCTCCTGGGGCCGGCGAGAGCCCCTGTGGCTGCTCAGCCGCGTGGCAGTGGCAATCCTAAGGCTGGGCGCCCTTGAGCACTTACGACTTGTCGACAAACTTGGGTCTAGTCAGTCAGCTGAAGTCATACCTAAAACTGGAGACGTCCCAAGAGACAGCCCCCCAAAAGTGTCATTCAGGTAGGCACAGGGCTGCTGCTGCTGAGCATACAACACTTCAGTTTGCAAGTGGACTTCCCAGTTTCCACAAGCCTCTCGCGTGAAAAGGGAGGTGACTGACAAACAGTGGGACCCCCGGTTGGAGCAGGGTCATGTGGGGGTCCCCAGACCCAATCTGGAAGCCCCAAGTTGTTTCCTAACTGTTATAGGGCACCTCAATTCAGAGAGAGGCACCCCTGAAGCCCCAAAACCTGCCTGCTCTAAGTGGGTTCTGCCATCCGCCGCAACAAGACAAAACATATAAAGCTTTAATGAAAAGTGACTTTAATACAGTGAATATACAATATGAAACACAAAGAATGTAACTTCTAAATCAAACACCTGAAGTTACCCATCCCCTCGTGGGCAAAAGTCAACCCAAAAGGGATTGGCCCAAAGCAAAGCCTGAAAGCTGCCACAAGACTAAAGCACCTTCTGGCCGGGACCCATGGAAAAGGGTCAGAAATGGCCAGACAAATCTGAGAGGAAAAGAGCAAAATCAAAATTAATATAAACACTGCCATAGTCACCTCCCTACAGGTATCTCACCCACATCTGCCTTAACCAGTCCAGGGTCAGGAAACAAGCCCGGTTTCTTCATCACATGTTTGCTGCTCCATGTGGCTTCCTTAGGTCTCCTTCTCCATCTGCCTTCTGCCTTCTGCCTTCTTCTCTCTCCTTTTTCTCTGCTCAGTTCCACCCTCCTTCTGGGTGGGGCAGGGAACCTGGAACTTCCCTTCTCCTAGGGACCACCCAGTTACATAACCAGTATCTGGGGACCACCAGCCTTCCAATGGTTGAAAACCCCATCATGAGCACACCTGCGGAAGTGCCTTGAAAGGGGGGTGCCCCTTCTTACAATTTACCACAAGTCCCGCAGCTGTCCCTAGACGCATAAACCCCAAGGGCCAGATCTCAGTGTGCTAGCTGACAATGACGCAGAGAACAGCTTATACTCGCAAAGAACTGAAAGGAACAAATAGATGTCGAGTCAGAAACCTGGGGAGCCCATGCAGAAGTGCATTCTGGGGTGCTGGGCCAATGGAGGGGTACCCTAGATCCTAACACTTTTTCCACAGGAACTTGGACCAAACAGGGCCTACAGCTACTGAGGTGAGAACTGTCTGGGCCCCTCTGCGAGAGGGAGCAAATGGGACCCAAGGCTCGACTGGGTTGATCAGGTTCCCCGGCACCAGCTCCCCCCCAGAAGGGAGCAGTCAGCCTTCCAGTCCCACCTTCTGGCTCTCCTTCGACATCCATTTCCCTGGTTCCTCTCCCATTGAACTAGACTGATGCACTTGGCAACCAAAACTCCCTTCCAAGATTTCCAAAGCCCCAAGGAGGGCAGCCAGCCCCAGGCTGCCACCCTTAAGCCTCTGGGAAAGGTTCTGGAGCCCAGAGCTCGGTCCCCGCCCCCAGCCTCTGGCTGCCATTTCCCCTCCTTTATTCCAGCAATATCCCCACCTCCTCCAGCTGGTCCCACGGGCTCCATTATTCAAACCTGGGGGGAGGAAATCAGCGCTGCTCTGATAACCAACTGCTGCTGATCGGGCCCCTCAGATGACCCCACAGTCGCTCCCCAGCCCGGGTGGGTGAGAGGGGTCGTCGGCCTGCAGGAGGTCTGGGATGAAGAGGTTCTGGCTGCCTCCCGGGCAGCTGACACGGCCCTAACAGCGAGGCCTCGGGAGAGTGGCGCTGTAAACACGGCAGACACGCTCCTCAGCCCCGAGGGGCCGGATGTGAGTGTTCCTGGAGTCACTGA